AATGTGTCACAAAGTTAAGCTGCTAAAAGAATAAAAAAAATTACCTTGAGAAACTTCAGATCCTTGGGTACTGGACGTCAGTGGTTGTTGAGCATCTTGAGTTGTGAGGTCTGTTGAAACTCTCCCATGTTGAAGAACCTGCAGGATGAAAACGGAAATGTTAGTCAATGTGTCAGAAAATTAAGCTGACAAGCCTTACCTTAAGGGCCTTGATTCGCCTCATGCCTTAGGCCATAATTTCATGCCAGATGCCTCTTGCATCTGCCTCCAGGTTACCTGCAAGAGGACAAAACGAAGGTCAGTTTCCAGCCAGAATATGCAAGATTGGAGCAAGTATTGAAGTTAAATGCTTAAGACAATTGGAAACTTACACTGAGAAACTTCAGATGCTTGGCCGCTGAATGAAAGTGACTGTTGAGCACCTTGAAGTCGCTAAACCCAAGGCATGCGGGGACCCATTCTCATAGACTGAATTTGCTGATACAGAACTGCTGCAGTCAGCTCTGTACCAACAGAATCAGCCTGTATGGCCCGGATCCGAGTCTTTAGACAACTCCAAGGGTCCCTCAGCACCATGCCACTTGCAATGCCACAGGCTGCTGCCTCCAGGTTCCCTGCAGGAGGACAAAAAGATAAGTCAGTCCTCAGCCAGAGCATGCAAGAACGAAGAAAGCATTGACTTCAAGTGCTAAAAGGATAAAAACAGTACCTCGAGAGACTTCAGATCCTTGAGTACTGGACGTCACTGAGCGTTGCGCATGTCGAGTAGTGATGTCTGTTGAAACTCTCCCATGTTGAAGAACCTGCAGGATGAAAACGAAAATGTTAGTAAAATGTGTCACGAACTTAAGCTGCCAAGAGATTAAAGCCTTACCTTAAGGGCCTTAATCCGCATCATGCCTTAAGCCATCGCTTCATGGAAGATGCCTCTTGCATTCACATCCAGGTTTCCTGCAAGAGGACAAAACGAAGGTCAGCTTTCAACCAGAAAGTGCAAGGATGCAGCAAGTATAAAAATCCAAATGATAATATGATAGAAAACTTACGTTGAGGAACTTCAGATGTTTGACTGCTGAGTGTAAGTGACTGTTGAGCACCTTGAGTGTACATTGACATGTAGCCGGACCTGCGGGAAGAAAGCAAAAAGTTAGTTAATGTCCCCAAAACTTAATTTGCCAAAGGATTGAGGCCATACCTTGGGGGCCTGCGATCTTGGGATATGAAGTCTTGAAATCTTGGGATATGAAATCTTGAAATCTTGAGATCTCTAAGTGTTGACCATCCTGAGAGGTTGGCGTCCATTGAAGGCCTTGAATGATGAGGAATCTGCAAAGCGAATCAAGGGAGGAGAAGAAGGAGTGAATGAGTACAAGTGTCACTAGAATGTCCAGAGGAGCAAGTCATGTGTGTGAGCATGTTGGATGAGAAATGCAGCAGCATGAATGCAAGAGCGTTCACCATGACCACCACAAGAACCATAATACCAAAAAAAACCTTAAGAGACCTGAAATACCTTACCAAAAAAGGGGGAATAGCTCTGATGGTGGTAATAGTGAGCGCTCAAGCATAAACGCCATGCAATGTAAGGAGAAAATGTGATTCATGGCTTGAAATGAAATAGCAGAAACATGACAGAAAACAAGAGGAGAGCGGTACTTAGCTTTTCATAAAGTCTTGAGGGGTTGAGCAGAGTTGGCCTCAGAGCTCAAACACGAGTGGAAGAAGTCTTGATGTTGGCTCCAATCCAAGTGTTTGCTTCACGACTTCAACGTTGACTGGAAGTGTTGAAGCGCCTTGCAGATTCGATGCGGTTGATGAAGTTGACGAGCCTCTGCCAATCAAAGGAGGGAGGAGGGGGGGTAAGTACAAGTGGCACTGGAAGGTCCAGACGAGAAAGGCAAGCATTTGCATGATGAATGATATGTATGGATGCAGATGCATGCAGCAAAAGCGCTCACCACCACAGCCACAAGAACCAAGTACCAAAAGAATACCAGAAGAGAACCTAGGGACTCACCAGAAAAGGGTACCTTTAAAAACAAACCTGTACCTTCTAAGGGGGATGGTTCATGCAGCAATTGTGGTAAGCACTCAAGCATGATGCGCATGAAAAAGCATGACAAAGATGAGTAGAAATGGAGTTGAGCGGAACCAAGAGGGAAACGACACTTATCTGCACGAGGGTTTGCATGTCAAGTCTTGGTCGAAGCCTTCACTTGGTAGTTGTCTTGAAAGTCTTGGCTTGGAGGTTGTCTTATTGTCTTGCCTCCCAGCGTTGCCTTCGAGCTCATCCACATAGCCTTGTATTGTTGAATGCCAGCCGTGTTGCCTGGTTTGCTCCCAGTTAATTAGAAGCAACAGAGGAGTACCTGCCAGGAACAAAAAAAGAAGTCAGTTGAAGTAGCAAGAAGACGCCATCAAACGACAAAAGCGACGAAGTAACGTGGGGGAAGGGGGAATGTTTTCCAGCCAAAGCAACAACACCGCAGAGCTCAGACAGACCGACGCAGCTATGATTGACTTAGCGACGCTGACGCTAGACCGACCTAGAGAGACTAACCAGACCTAGGGGAGGAGACAGGGAGCTTTACGGCGGCGCTTTGGTTGGAAAACAAACAAACAGCACGAACGAAATTGAAAACGGAAAAGGAAAAACATTATAGTAGTGGAAGGAGCACTTAGCTGGAAACTTCAACAGCAGGCCGGTGAAGAACTCAGGATGGCGGAATTCCATGCACTTGAAAGCGAAGAAGGCTGGACGGTCGCATTGTCACCGTCGCGATGAATGCTGCAAGTTGACGACCGTCTTCATCATGGCTCACTGCACAATGAAAACGTAATCTGGTTCAGTACGAGTAATGTTGTGAAGCCACGAAATCATTGAGCTCGGTACTATACACGAAATTAAGATAAATGAAGCTTATATCTACCTTGAGAAATTGGGACGCTCAAGCAGCTTGTGGGTCTCCAACAGCTTCCGACTTGCAACGACATAAGCTGAAGGTCGTGAAGCTCGGACAGCGCAAGCAGGTCGCACTTTGAACCGACGGAGGTTCCATCCTTGAACGAGAAGACGAGTTACGCGGACAGAGGTTGAAGTCGGGGAGGCTGAAGAGCACAACGGAGAGAATTTGCGTTGCACTAGAGAAGCTTGAAGGTTGGAATGCGAGAGGATGAACTGTTGCTTTATAGATGTGTGGCTAACCACGGATTAAGAGACAAATGCATCGCCGACGAACCATTCCCACACGAAGTCGACACGGTTTCAAGCAGAGCGACCGTTGAAATTGGCGCGAGCGGCTTCTAAGGTATCACCTAGGAGGGCACCACCTTGGTTGAATATTGGCGGTGAGGTCTTGGAATCTAGTGAGAGAGAGGCTAATGAGGCACAGCGGGTGTCAGTGAGAGTTGGATGTTTGGAGTGGCTGTGTCAGGTCAGGACGACAATGCCGTGGGAGCTAGGGTTTGAGGATGGATGGAATGAAGTTGAGCTGTTTGGCGAATTCCGCGAAGTTCTGAGAAATCCAGGTTTCACACTTTTCGCACAAGCAGAAAACTTCGTCGAGCTGATTGGTGATGAAAGTTGGCCCAACAGTGAAGCATCATGCGATGCGATTGGTGCGACTACTTGCGCCGGTTTCCCGCAAAAACCACACGGGGGATGGCGTGCAGGAACGGCGCGCGGGGCGGTGAATGGGGTGCAGAAGGATCGCGAGCTGATTGGTGAAGAAAGTTGTGCGCTTCTGTGCAGGGATGGCGCGCGGGGCGAAGCGCACTGGGCTGCGCGGAGCGGAGTGCACAGCTCTGTACCGAAGCAGTGCGTGTACACCAGTCAATTTCTTCCAGGCCAAGAAACAATAAGGTATCACCAGAGCCCTACATTTCATTCAAGAGAACCGTGAACAAGGCTGTCGATTGGTTTGGAGCCAGAACTTGAGAGGCTGAGGTGCCCCAAAAGTTGCCCTGAAATTTACGGGCTGAGAGCAAACCTGGCACTTGAAATCGGGGCTACCAAGTTTTTTGCACTTTCGCTAAGGAAAACCTACATCTATTCGGGTCCGTTATCCTAGGCAAACTACTAAGAGCCAGCTAGGCAATAGGCTGAGGTACGAACCATGTCGATGGATTTGACGGGGATGGGAAAAGGAAGTAGTGGAGTAGCTGGGAGAGGCGGGGGGACTGGTGAGGGAATTGGAGGGAGGGAGGTATTAGGGTGGGACGATAAGGGCTAGCCGGGGGATCGGCACTTGAAATCCGAGTTAGGCCCACAACCAGCACTTTGCGGGGACGGGCTGCCCTCAAACCCAACCCTTAAACTTCGGAAACTGGGCCGAACCCAACCCTTAATGTTCAGGGCATTAAGGGCATTTGCCCTTGAATCTTCAGCCCTGACCGTGAACCCTATAGCAACGACTCCTCCTCCTGAGCAAAAGTACACTGGCGAGGATGCGTTCTCACACTTTCGGGACCTCTCAAGCTGTATTGAATGTTCCTGACTTCCTGCCTGGGAATCTGGACCCAGGCTACCGAAGCCTCTCTCATCCTTCAGCTTAGGAGGGTCTGCCTGCCCGCCCGAAAATCGGATACGAGAACACGGAACGCGCCCTCGCACCGACATCTCATCTCGTCCCTCCTCCCACCAACCCGACCCACACACCTCTACTGTCGCAGCTCGCAACTAGCATGTGATGTGATGGAAGGCGAGGCGTTCTTGTTTTGTGGTGGCGTCACACAGTCATTGCAGACCGTTCTTGTTGTGGCCCCATTTCCGCTCGCTCGCAAATCTTGGAACCAGAGGCTCTTTCGAAGCGCTGTTCACCGTCACCTCTCATTTCTTTCTGTACCCACCACAGTCTTCTTTGTCCTTGCGAGCCGTGCGTTACATTGCTTAGCTTCGATATCACGGCGTGGTAGGCTATCCCTCATCCTCTTCTGCTCCTACGCTACGCTGTATATGGTCGTTCTTTCGCCCTTGTCACGCACGTAAGCCGCACTGAACCATGGACGACCTTAGCTTCGCAGCGTTGTGCGACGACTTTTCGCAGCAGCCGTGCGGCGATTTTTTGCAGCAGCCGTGCGACCAGCTTAGTGCGAATCTAATGGACCTGCTGCAGCCGCCCGTTCTTCCGCAAACGTCGCTTGACGAATTCGACCCATCTTTTCAAAGAATCGACGGCTGGTCGTGGCCTGGGAACAATCTGGACGGTCCGCAGCAGCCCTGCGAGATGGATTTGGAGTTCGACGCCGCAATGGCTGCGCTGTTGGCGGAACCCGCGGTGAGAATCCCCTGCTCCGCGCAAGAACTCCGCGCACCTGTACCATCGGCGCAAACTGCTTCCGCGCAAGCCTCCGCGCCCGGCGCGGGCGCGTCTCCGGCAATTGGATGGCGCGCGCCCGCAGAAGTCCCCGCCGCAGCACCGAGTGCGGTTCTTTCGCCGAAGCCCGTCGCAACCGTGGCGGAAGCTTTTGCGCTGGCAGCCGCGGGCGCGGCGGGCGTGGCGCAAACGACGGAACCAACAGCCGCGCTGGCGGAAGCTGCGCCTCCCCTCACGGCCACGGCAGGCACTGCAAGCACAGGACTTCGCGATAACAGCAGTCTAGGGTCTGAAGCAGTCATGGTGCCGCCATCAGCGGAGTATATCAACGCGGAGTTGCTACTGACGATGCTGCTGCTGCAGCAGCAGCGCACTAATAGCCTCGCGGGGACGGAAGGTAGCAGTCTCGCGCAGGCAGTTGTTCTCCCCACAGCGACAAACGGCGGTGCTAACGGTCGTGTTACTGCCGGTCTGCATGGTGGCGGTGGCGGTGGCAGTGGCGCGCAGGCAGCTGTGCTTCCAGCGAACAACGACGCTACCTTCAATCGTCCTGCTGCTGCTATGCTTGGTGGTGGTGGTGGTGGCAATGGTGGCAGCAGCGGCAGCGTCGCTCTGCATCCGTTCGATGTCATGCTGGGAATGGACGGACAGGATCGCTCGGGAGGAGCAGGAGCAGGAGGAGCAGCAGCAGCTGCGCCAGCAGCCGCAGCAGCAGCAGCAGCAGACATGGCAACCGGAGCAGCTCAAGTGGATGGCACCGTATCGGATGCTGCAGTAACGAGGCTTCTGTTGGAGTGGATAGCGATGCAAGACATGAATGCGACGGGCACAGGCCCTGGAGGCCCCCCCTTGCAATTTCCCCACCGCCTCTCCTACCACCCTCTGCCCCAAAATATCATCAGAAATCCTTCCGCCCCATTTTCCCCATCCCTTCCCCCGGCCCCCGTGCCGCCCACTCCTGCCACTTTTCTTCCACGAGGCTCTCCGCCTATTCCCCTCCCCGCGCCGCCGCCTGCGCCCCAGGGCATTTCTGGCGGAACGAGTACTGGCGGGAGTGCTGGCGGAGCGGATACTGGCGGGAGTGCTGGCGGGGCATGTAGTGGCGAGATTGCTGGCGGAAGCTCTGCTGCAGCGACCATGGGTGCGGGGACGTCAGGAGGGGCGGGTGTGGTGTCAGCGGGGGCAGGAGAGGCGATGACGTTTGAGGCAGCGGCGCAGCAGCTGTTCCTCGCCACTGCGCCTGCTGCGCTGGGAGGGAGGCGGGGAGGGTGGGCGGACGAGGGGGGTGCAGCTGCGGCGAGGGCATCAGGGGTTGGAGAAGGAGCGTTGCCCTGTGCGTCTGTGGCCCTCTTGCAGGAAACTGCTGCTGGTGATGCTGATGATGGCGGTGATGCTGCCGCCGATGCTGATGGTGCTGCTGACGGAGTTGACTCTGGTGTTGGTGATGGTGTGGATCCCACAGGTTGTGCTGCTGCGGTGGAACTTCTGAGTCGACTCAAAAGTCAACTTGCTGATGGTGCTGCTGACGGAGTTGATTCTGGTGTTGGTGATATTGTGGATCCCACAGGTTGTGCTGCTGCGGTGGAAAGAGAGGAGGAGCAACGAGGGCGGGAGCGGAATATGGAGAGTAGCAATGGGCCAAGCGAGGGCAATCACCGTGGACAGGCGTTGCTACAGATGATCGAGGATATGGAGCAGCAGCAACAGCAACAGCAGCAGCAGCAGCAGCAGCAGCAGCAGCAACAACAAGAGCATGGGGCACAGTACGAGCAAGAGCGTGAAACGCAGCAGCAAGGGCATTGGCAACAGCAGCAGGAGAAGGGGGGGCTTGCGGCGTCGCTGGGGGGGTTGACGAGTGTGACAGTAACGAGGGCTCTGAGCGCGCTGGGTGTGGGGGAGAGCAGCAGCGGAGTGGTGCAGCAGGTGCGGAGGCTGCTGGAGGCACAGAGGGAGGAGGAGGAGCAGCAGCAGAACCAGCAGCAGAACCAGCAAGAGCAAGTGCAAGAGCACAAGCAACAGGAGCAGCTCTTACTGCGTTATTTAAAGCAACAAGTGCATCATCATAATCATCATCATCATCATCATCAGCAGCAGCAGCAGCAGCAGCAGCAGCAGCAGCAGCAGCAGCAGCAGCAGCAGCAGCTGGCATCCAGCCAGGCAGTGACCCAGGCAAGTGTCGATGCGAGGCCGTACAACCCCATTCCAACCCCGGTACCGCTGCCCATAGACCAGGTGGGCGGGGTGAGAGGCCGGGACTGGGACCACCCGGGTGCATCCTCATCGCCCTTCAAGCAAGTGCGAGTGCATTCCCAGGCGCATTCTCAGGCGCATTCTCAGGTGAATTCCCAGGTGCAGCCTAGCAGGAGTAAGGCGTCCCTCCCCACGCAAGCTCGCCGCACCCCTGACCTGTCAGCACGACTGAAGGGGCTCCTAGGGGTGATAGGCTCGGGAATAGGTCCGGTAGTGGATGTAGCAGCAGGTACGCACGGTGCGGGTCAGGCAGCCGAAGCTGGGTGCACAGCAGAGGGAGGCGAAGATGCTTCTATGGAAGTGCAGGAGGGCGGGATGGGAGACGTGAATGTGACTGCAAGGGGGGGCGCAAGCTTTGCTAGCAGCACGGCTGCAGGAGGGACGATTGGAGGCGGGTTCTTTGGTGCAAGTGCCAGCCTTGGTTTCCAGAGGGACTTTGGCTATGAGCGATGGAAGGAGCAGGTAAGGGTGCTGCTGGAAGGAAGTGGGAGGAACGGGGGGAAGCAGCAGCAGGAGCAGCAGTGGGGCCAGCAGGAGCAGTCGAATCAGCCGAAGCAGAGGCGCAAGCGAGGGGAGATGAGTGCGGAGCGGCAGCAGGAGGAGGAGAGGAGGCAGGAGAGGAAGCTTCTTCAGAAGATGCTGCAGGCTCTGCCTAAAAGGCAGGCGCACCAACGGCTGTTGCTGCAACAGCTTCCGCTGCGACAGCAGCTGCTGAAGCAGAGCAGCAGCAATACACAAAGTAGCGATGGCAGGCGCAACAGGGCTGGCAGTAGTGCCCTCGAAGCACCTTCAAACGCCATTGCAAACCCCAGCCGGCCGCTGAAACCGGATGTTTCTGGGCTGCTTCCTGGCATGGTGGACGGCGGGAAGGAGAGGCACCTGTGGTCGCAGCTGTCAGCGCTGGCTGAAGCTCTCACCACCGACGATTCGGTACGTGACACAAGCCTCACCACCGATGATTTGGTAAGTGACACAAGCCTCACCACCGATGATTCGGTAAGTGACACAAGCCTCACCACCGATGATTCGGTAAGTGACACAAGCCTCACCACCGACGATTCGGTAAGTGACACAAGCCTCACCACCGATGATTTGGTAAGTGACACAAGCCTCACCACCGATGATTCGGTAAGTGACACAAGCCTCACCACCGATGATTCGGTAAGTGACACAAGCCTCACCACCGATGATTCGGTAAGTGACACAAGCCTCACCACCGATGATTCGGTAAGTGACACAAGCCTCACCACTGATGATTCGGTAAGTGACACAAGCCTCACCACCGATGATTCGGTACGTGACACAAGCCTCACCACCGATGATTCGGTAAGTGACACAAGCCTGGTGCTGAGCCGACACGCCTCTCCACAAGCCCACTGGGTGTGCTCGCACTACTTCATGCATCACTGCCACTGGTTGATTCATCCCGGATCACTCTCAACCAAACCCCTGCGCCCACCAGGTGCGGTGGCGGCACTTCATGCGGCAGGTACGGAGGGAGGCGGCAGCGGGGGGGGACACGCTGCAGCGCATCGCCTTCCACGCGCTGCAGGCGCTGCGGGCTCGCACCGATGGCACCGCCATCCAGCAGTTCAGTTGTGCCCGCGCTTGCTCTGCCGAGGTGATTATCACTCTCTGTAGAGGACTCTTGAGTCAACTCAAAGTCGTGCTCCAGGCGTTGCAGGCTCGCACTGACGGCACCGCCATCCAGCAGGTCAATTGCGCCTGCACTTGCTCCGCCGAGGTGGGTAGTAATCATTCCTCAGCTCTCTACTGAGGTGTCTGCCCACGTGTGTTTTGGCGACGGCACCGCCATCCAGCACCAGCAGTTCGAATACCGTCGTGCTTGCTCCGCTGAGGTGAGTGTAACCCTCCTCAGGGATAATAGTTTGTCTTTCCACCAGTGCAGTGCCTTCTGCACGTCACGGCTTAGGGTAAGACTTGCTGTTTGCTGATATGCGCACGTGTGAGTGGTGAGCTCTGTTGGCACTGGCAGCTGTGTTCGGCTTTGAATCAGAGTGTCAAGAAGCTCTGTTTCTTCTTTTTGCCTTTTCTCGCTGTTACCAGGGTATCATGGAGCTGATGGGCCACGACAGTGCTTATAGCGTGCCATCCTTTATGGAGTACAACTATGCGGCACAGGTGCAAGAGATAACCCAAGCCTTCATAGAGTCTCCCGGTAATGCCGCTGCCTCACCAGCAACGGCACCAGAAGCAGCAGCAGCTACAGGAACTTCCGCAGCAGCAGCAAGGGATGCAGTAGGGGAGGCAGCTGCAGCAGAAGAGGAGGCAGGGAGTGCAGGGGCGAGCAGGAAGAGTCGGGTGCGGCGGCGGCGGCTGCACATCATATCGCTGGGTTTCTACCCTGGGCCCCAGTGGGTGAACATCCTCATGCGCCTCTCCGCTCACTTCTCCCAACTCACTGCCCTGCCGCCTGCCCATGCTGCTGCTGCTGCTGCTGGAACTGTTCCGGCTGCTTCTGCTGCTGCTGATGCGGCTGAAGCTGGTGCAGGTGAGGCCACGCCCAATTCCGAAACTGACACGAGAGCCAGCAGTGAGACTGGCACTGCGTCGGGCCCAGCCAGCACCAGCAGTGGGAAGGCTGGGAGCAGCAGCCAAGGCAGGAGTGAGGGTGAGCAGAGAGCGGGTGCGAGCATGTCCTCCTCTCCCTCCCCTGCCTCGTCCGCCACTCCCTTGGGTTCCCCACCCACCTCCACCAGAATATCTGCTCCTACCACTGCACCTCCCACTTCTCTTGCATCCTCTGCAGCACCGCCCTTCTCGCCTGCACCAAGAGGCACTACAGCTAGCCCCCCTGCTGCTCCCTCCCCTGCAGGAGACGCCAACACAGGCACCAGCACCCGGGGATGGGAGCGACCCTACCCATCGCCCCCCACCCCGCTGCTCAAGATCACAGCCGTCGATTTCTCCACAGTGAAGCTCTCATCTCAACGGTCAGGAATGGTCTATCTGGGCGGGCGGTACCTGGAGCAAGTAGCTCGGATGCTAGACATCCCCTTCACCTTCCAGGGGGTCGAAACCGCACCGGAGGATTTCCATCCGTCAATGGTGGAAGTGGAAGAAGGAGAGGAGGTAGTGGTGCTAGGCAAATGGTCTCTCCACCTCTTCCCAGACAACTCAGTCCTCCGATCAAACCCCAGAAACGCCATCCTCAAGTGGATTTATGACCTCTCTCCTCTCCTCTTTCTGCATGTCGATCTCGACGCGGATGCCAATGGGCCCTTCTTCCTCCCGCGCTTCCAGAACGCCGCGCGCAACTTCGCAGCGATCGTCGAGTCGCTGGACACAAACCTCCCGCACTCCGCGGCACCGCGGCAGGCCTGCGAGGCGTTTCTAGCGCACGACATGGTGAACAGCATCGCCTGCGAGGGCACACACCGGTGGCTGAGGACCGAGCGGCTGGAGCAGTGGAGGAAGAGGTTGGAGGCGGCAGGGTTCCAGCCGAAGCCGCTGCATGCGGACACGGTGAGTGCGATGCGGGCGGTGACGGAGGGGCGGGATAGGCGGTTTGAACTGAAGGTGGACGAGCGGTGGTTTGGAGCGTCGGCGGAGCTCAGGTGGCGAGGCACGCCCACTGTGTTTGTGGCCGCGTGGCACTGACTGGGGAAGGCAGGAGTGATACTTAGTCTGTAGAGTAATGCAGTGGGTGGTGGTGGTGGCCTCAGGCCTGGCCCTGGCTGGCTGGATGAAGGAGACAGGTGCTGGTAGCCACCAATATGGTAGGCATATGTTTTAGCTCTCGATAGTGAAGGCCCTGCCAATGTTGCAACTTGTTAGCCTTGTGTGCAGTCAACAATACTGAGATATGTTAGTAGTCATATATGACAAGGACTGTACATTTACTCGCCGAATTAGGGCAATGAACGTAATAGACACGGCCAGCAAGGCCAAACTCAAAACAAGTCTCGACCAAAGTTAGCAGCTCTGGTCCAAAAAGCCAAACCTAGTCACCCAGCGTTCAGGGTGAAGCTGGGTCCACGAGTCAGGGAGAGGGGTCACCCAGCCAAAGCCAGCAATGGCCACCATCCCCCAGTTAATGGCTCTCCACTTGCCGTTGCACAAATCCACAGCCACTGTGGCACCAGCTATGCAGTGAGTGGTGGAGAAGGCAGCGCGAGGAAGGAGCTATGATCACTGTGAGGGCGGCAAGGTGAAGCTGGGGCCACGAGTGAGAACCGCATAGAGCAGCCCAGCGGCAGTACCTGCCACAGGGAGAGTGATCACCCAGCCGAACCCAGCAATGGCCACCATGCCCCAGTTGATGGCTCTCCACTTGCCGTTGCACAGGCCTACAGCCACTGTGGCACCCACTATGCACTGAGTGGTGGAGACGGGTAGAGCAAGGAAGGAGGCGGTGAGGACGGCGAGGGCTGCACCTAGCTCCATGGAGAAACCGCGGGAGGGCGAGTGGTACGTGATGTTGTTGCCCAGGTTGCGCATTATGTTGTACCCGTCTGGATGGGTGGAAGGGAAGGGGGGAAGGAAGAGAGCTTCTATGAGGCGACTGAGAGATTTATGTTTGCGTGCAGTTTTGAGGTGCCTCAAGAAAAAAGGAGTAGTACGAGGTGTTGCTCAGGTTGCGCATTGTGCTGCACATGTCTCGATGGGTAGGGAGAGGTGGAAGTGGGGGCCAGGGAAGCGAGAGTGGACCAAGATGAGAGGAAGGTGCAATGAAGAGGAGTGTAGGGCCAAAGGTGATGGCAGATGTAGGCTAGGGCGAAAGGAGACAAGGAAGCAGGAGAGAACAGTTACAATGGTTGAGCAAGCATGGAGCAGGATATGCGGCAGGAAATGCAGAGGGGTATGCAGAACATGCAGGGGGAAACGCAGCAGGCTTACAAAGAGCAAGGCCGAGGTCAATCATTATCCCGGCATTGACCAGCATCCAGTATGGTATGCTGGCATGGGTGGAAAAGGTACCGGTCTCCCACAGCTGGTACACCCCTGCCAGGGGCCCCAGCGAGCCGGCAACATCATTCGAGCCGTGGGAGAAGCTCGCGAAGGATGCGGTAACCACCTGCAGCAGCGAGTACAGGTACTCTGTCTTGTTGTCGTACAGGACTGCCACCTCATGCGCGCGCACTGCACCACGGTTCCGCTGCTGCACTGACACGATGTCGATGAGGAGTGTGCGCAGCAGCAGCCATTTGATGTGGTGCGCGAGTCGCACGACGAGGCTTTTGTGCTGGGTTTTTTCCCGCTCCCACCGCTCCTCCTTGCGCTCCTCCTCCTCCTCCACAGGCATTCCGAGCTCTGTTCTTTCCTCGTCGTTCAGCAGCTGCGGGGTGAAGGTTCGTTTCAAGTACGTGTCGATCCTGGTGTCGTGCAGCTGCTCTGGCAGCCAGTGGATGCAGAACACGTGGTACCACCTGAGGCTCTCCTCCTTCTCCAGCCGTCGGATGAAGAACGGGACGAGGAATCCAACGGCGAAGACGAGAGTCGCACCTGTGATGGCCCCTGTGATGGCAAACGTCAGGCCAGCGTTGCTGCTGTTATGGACACCCTCTTCACCCAAAAACCCCCACCGACTGTTTCGGGAGATGACGTAGAAACTGACGATGAAGCTGGTGATGGTGAAGTAGAAAGGAACGGCCCAGATTCCTGCTCGCAGAGAGTTTCTCCGATTCATGACAGCAAAGAGTGTGATCGTGTAAACCGCTGCTGCGAGGACGCCTGCTAGGCAAGGCGCTAGGACCCAAGATGTTGCGATCTGCGCCACGCCTCTACCCTCCCACCCCCAGTTCACGGCGTCCTTGCCGTACGCGCTAATGCCAACTCCGATAAGCGCACCGATTATGGAGTGTGTGGTAGAAAGAGGGAAGCCTAGAATAGACGCGGTCATGACCCATGTCGAGGACGCTATTAACGCGCACATGAAGCCTGACATTAAAAGGTCTGGCCGGCTGCTGAACATGTTGATATTGATAATGTCGTCCTTGACTGTTTTGGCCGTCGTAGCGCCAAGAGCGACCGCTCCTCCCAATTCAGTGAAGAAGGCGATGCAGATGGCTTGCTTGAGGGTGAGCGACCGCGATCCCACCGACGTGGCGAAGGAATTGGCGACGTCGTTCGTACCTGCGACAGTCGTTGCGACAATTGGAAAGCTGGCTCAAAATCGTCGCAGAAGAAGCGAGCGAAAGTGGTTACAAACAAACTTAAACAGCGACGCGTTGCATGCTTACCGATGGCATAGCCGTCCAGGAGGGAGAATATCAGCGTCACCACGAAGATCCACGTGTACGAATGGATGGGCATAACAACGGTCGCCATGACTACCGGCGGGTGACTGCTAGTTCGCAGGTTGAGCGTGAGAATATTGTCGTGTGACGCGCAGTCCTGCAAGTCCTGATAGTAAGAATAGAACTACAACCTGCAGCGGGAGCAGGTCATAGTTGCTTCTCAGCTTGCGATTTCTAGTCGCGGATTCAGAGATTGCATAATGACGCGAGCCTTGCACGACCAGCAGTTGTAGAAGTACAGTGAGAAATGGTAAACCGCAACTGAGATTGTATTTGCTAATCCGCAAAATGAGAGTTGGAGAAACGCGGTGTAACTCGTATAGCCAATACTTCTAGAACTTGCAGTGAGAGGAGCCTGAGTCTCCCGTCTGACCAACGGCACGACGATACAAAAGCGAGAACCATTCTCTAGGTAAAGACCACTTCACTATGTCGTATGATGGCAGCATTTCAGATACTTGTACAATGTATGCAGGGAGGTGGGGGTTGAGAAAGGAAGGAGGAGGAGCAGTTGGATATGGCTGAATCCGACTCATCAGCAGCAGCCAACGGTCACCCTGACAGACAACGAACAGCAGCCTTCGAGCTCACTCACTCACTCACCCCAGCAACCCACTCACAGACGCCATGGCAGAATTCCTCGAGACTGTCGCGTTGAGTTTCTGAATTTCTCACATTGTTCTTATGGACAAAGAAAATTGGTGATGTGTACCCACCAAACATAAGAATCCCATCCCAGTGGTCTTTATCTTATCGAGCCCCACTGAACCCCGGCAAGAAGTCTCAAGGTTGATTGGTTGGTTGCACCCAGCCGCCCTCCAATCCCAGCAGAGCAGACCCACCTTCCCCTCCCCACACCACAGCGCCCAGCTGTTCATGTCATGTCATGACAGGCAGGTTTGCATCCTTGATACGGAAAATTACTCGTTCCGTTAAAGTCCTCATTTGCATATAAACGTGTAATTCCCTTATTTCTTCGCACCTCACAGTTATTCCAGCGCTAGCGCCAATTTTCCCACAGCATCCAGGCGCCACTGATTCAGCCTGAGGAGAGAGTACAGTGGGCACTGAGCGAGTTGGAGCCATTGCGGCTATTTCCCTCGCGAAGAGGAGCGCTTTGCAGACTGATATTGCAGAATTGTTCGTTCCTTCGCGTCAACGGTTTCCGTTTCGCTATAAACAGCTGCCATTTATTTGCCAAATAGGTTTGAAGCTTTGATCGGAAACCCATGATGAAAGACGCGTTGAAGAAGACGAAGGTGGTGGTGCGCAAACTACCGCCGAATCTTAAGGAGGAGTCATTCGTCGAGGCGCTTAATAAGAAATACCAAGGCCGCTACAACTGGATAATGTTCTACCCCGGAAAATCATCGTACGTTTCCATACTCACACACCCATATTTCACCCACTCTCCAGACCAATTTCCACATCCTCTCTTAGCCGGCTCCCCAGGTAGCCTCTTCTCCCATAATCTTCTCGGCCATATCAAAGCTGCTTACGCATCACCTCGCATCACCTCGTCGCAGGGCCAAGAAGGCGGCACTCTCAAGGGCGTACATCAACTTTCTCTCGCCGGAGGACGTCATCGGTTTCTCCTCCGACTTTCACGGCCACACCTTCGTCAATGAGAAGGGTAAGTCTCATGTCATGTGACAATGAATGCTCTTGTCTGATTTCACGGGACACGAGGAGAGGACATTTCTTCAAAATGGCATCAGAAGGAGACGACCTTTAAGTCCCAATGCGCAGGGGGATATTCGAAGGTTTTTTTAAATCAGTGTTGATTCAAGAAGTCTTTCAAGATTCAGGCTGGCTCTGTCAAGAGTATCTTAAACTTGGGTAAGTAGTTTCAGACGTCTGAATGTGCGCAATGTGTGTCAAGGCGACAGGCAGGCAGATCAGATGGCAGCAGCAACAGTGCAGAGTCCATCCGAAAAGCTCCCCTTGCAGCTACTGCAGTATGCTCTTTTGAAGGCCCTGCAAGGAGGACCATAGCATGTGAGCCAAGTATTCTCCGATTCTCTCCTTCCCTTCTTTTCTTTTCTGTGTTCCGCTCCCGCCTGTCACATCCACTCCTCCCCCCGGCTGGCACTGCAGGGCAGCAGTTCCAGGCAACAGTGGAGTACGCGCCATGGCAGAAAGTCCCCAGGGCGCCGCAGCGAAAGGACCCCAGGCAGGGGACTATAGACAAAGGTGACTTTCTAGCGAAAGTGACTCTAGTGAAGGATGTTTTGTAGGTATTATCATCAGGAACGTTGGAATTCGCATAAGTCAAGGATGTGCCATAATAAAGGTATTTTTGGGTTCATTCACTTCCAGAAAGCACTGGTATTGTCAAGATCTCGCCCATTCACTCTCTTTGATGCATACCCTCGTTCTGCCATTCCCTCTTCCCTCCGCCTCCCCATCCCCCCCGATTCCCCCCAGGCCCCGAATTCCAGGTCTGGACAGCACTAGACCAGGGGTTGCAATGCAGCGCCCTCGTTCCGTCGCACATCTCCCCCATCTCCCACCTCCCATCCCTTCTCCAGACCCCGAGTACGTGGCGTTCCTAGCAGCGTTGGAGCAGGGCGAGGAGAGCCTTCCGAGCGCAGAGGTGCAGCTGGAGAAGGCAGACGCTGCCAAGGCCGCTGCTGCAGGTGCGCGCTCTTTCATTAGCTGCTGCAGGTGCGTGTGCCGTGCTCGCACTTCACTTGCCCCTCGTGCTGACGCCCCTTGTTGATTATGTGTGCTAGAGGCACACCAATGCCCCTATCCTCCACCCCCCCCCCCCTTTCCCTCCTTTTCCCCTTCCCCCCTCCCCCAGGAGCCAAGGAGCCGCTAGTGCTGACGCCCCTGGTGGAGTATGTGTGCCAGAGACGCGCCAATGCACGGACAGGCCCCCAGGCTCGTGTGGTTACCAGCAGACCCACTCGCCCTGTGGGCGCAGGGGGAGAGAGGGGGGCTGCGGGGAGGATGGGGGGAGGCGCAGGGGGAACGCATGCTCCCCCCGCTGCAGGGAGTGGGGCAGGCCGTGGGGGTGGGGGTGGGGGAGGGGGAGGGGGGAGTGGTGGTGGGGGTAAGGGGGGAGGCAGGGAAAGAGGTGCACGTGGAGGTGGGAGGAGTGGGGGAAGGGGCGGGGGAGGTGAGGGAGGTGGTAAAGGAGGGGGGGAGGCGGGCATACCTGGTGCAGCTGGTGCTTCAGTTGGTGCTTCAGGTGGTGCAAGGGAGAAGGCCGATTCAGCTGCTGTTACTTCTGCAGCACATGTAAGTCTAGCAGAGACAGGTTTTGCATAGACACATGTGCCATAGGATCCACCTGAATCAACACTTGAGAAGCACCTGATTTAACACCTGAACCAACAGCTGATAGATATCCTAAGAAACATCACCCCCTCACCTGTATGATCATCATCGCATGCCCCCGTGATAATCATCTCATGCGTCCCCTCAATGCTACCACACGCCCCTCATTACAGTCACGCTCGTCGCGCCGTCACGCGGCGGATCTGCGGCGCAAGAGAGGCGGCACCAACAGCAGCGACGCCCACAGAGACGCTCAGAGGGACGCTCGGGCCACTCCCTCCCCTTCCTCCCTCGCGCCTGCTGCTACAGCTGCAGTCGCCTCTGCTACAGCCGGTGCAGCTGTTACCAACACTGCAGCTGGGGGTGCGTCTGGCATTGTGGCAGCAGGCACTACAGGTGCGAGCACAACAGCAGGTGGTGCTGGTGGTGGTGACAGTGGTGCTGGTGCTGGCTCAATCCGCACAGTGCCGTCTGGCCGGGGTGCAGGGGTGAAGATTTTTACTCGGCAGCATGCACAGCCACATGTGCAGCAGCAGACTCAGCAGCAGCCGCAGCAGCAAAGGCAGTATGGGCGGGGAGGGGGCATGCAGGCGGCACAGCAGCAGGCACAGCAGCAGGCACAGCAGGCACAGCAGGCACAGCAGCAGGCACAGCAGGTTCGGCAGGCGCAAGGAGGGGCAGGAAGCGTGGCAGGTGAAGCAACAGCAGTTGCAAGCAAGGCTGAAACTCCTGCTGCTGCTGGCAGTGCAGCAGGAGCAGCGGGAGCAGCAGGGGCAGCAGGAGGAAGGGCAGGGACAGCAGCAGCTGGGGGAGGAGCAGAAAGGGAGGCAGCAAGGGAGGCGAGGGACAGCCGAGGCAGGCTGAAGAACCGGGACCGGCCCGATCGACCCGTGTGGACTCCCAGGCGACGCCCAGACGTGGGAGGGGGCGGTGCTGCTGGTGCAGGGCAGTCTGGGGGAGGTGGTACTGGTGATACTGCGGCTGCTTCTGCTACAGCTGGTGCTGCTACTGCATCTGCTGGCGTTGCAGCAGCCTCTGCAGCAGCTCCCTCCTCTGCTCCATCCATTCCTTCCGCCTCTGCAGCCCCTGGTGGTGCCGCATCGGCACGTGCAGCAGGGTCATCAGCAGCGCCAGCAGCAAGAGCTGCAGGGGCAGTAGGAGGAGGAGGAGCAGGAGGAGCAGCGGCAGCAGCAACGCCACTATCAGGAGCGAGTGAAGCAGCCGTGTCTGCTCTTCCCTCAGCTGCAGCAGGCACTGGTGCTGTGAGCAGAGGGGGTGGAGGGGCAGGGAGCTATGGTGGGAGAGGGAGGGGCGGCAGTGACTATGGCAGAGGAGGTATGCCCAAATTCGTTTAAAACAAGTACATTGATTCCGCAGCTCTCCCTTATTGTCGTCAGATTCTTTGTTCTGGCACTTGGTTTTACTCCCTCACATTGGACTGCATGCCTGTGTTTTTGTGTGCTGCTGCAGGGCGAGTGAGTGAGAGGGGGAGGGGGGGAGGGCGGCGGGGGGGGCATGGGGGAGGAGGGGGGAGGGGCTACAGTGGACCAGGCTCAGCAGGAAACGAAAGCCAGGTACCTGCCTGGCCCCCCTACCCCACCTCCTCCTCTTTGCCCTTCCCTCTCCCCGTCTTCTCCAACCGCCACCTGCTTCTCTCAATTTTCTTTTGTGACGAAACTCTTGCTTCCCTCGGCTTTGTTTTCCAGCCCTGAGTATGGCTTTCTCCCTTCACCCCCCACCTCCGCCCCCCTCTTCCTCCTCCCTTGCTTCCTGCCTTGTCTACTGTCCCTTCTGTTTTCGTCCAACCGCCATTGTTTCATTCCCTTCCAAGTCTGCTGTTGCACCTGCTTCTTGCTATGTCGATCCCTCTTTACCGCGGTTCCAACAGAGGCAGGTGTGGGTGGCAGTTCAAAAATCAAGCCAATCGGGTCAGTAATGGTGAATCAATGCTGTAGGATTGTGAGCTCTGGCTCGAGCAGATTTAGCTTGTGCTTCAGGATTTCATCAAATGCTCAGTCGGATGTTGCAAGTGTGCTGATTCGAAAATAGTAGTGGCCTACATTGGTCAATTGCTGTATATGGTGATATTGGGTATACAGCTGCTTGGTTCCTTAGCTTTGTCTTGCTGCCAGTACGATATTCTCTAGCCAATCACACAAATCATTCATGTTGGGCCCCAATCGTTTTGTAGTACCAGTACTTTTTTCCTGCAGTAGTTCTTCTAGTTATTTGGTTGGTTCTGTTAAGCCCCAGTTGTAGTGGAACATGGAAGGCAGAAACGCACCGTATGAAGGCAGAAAAGCAATATCCTGTTACAATGCATCAGCATATATGTGGCCATCATGCCTGGAGCATGTTAGCATTCACGTTCTGAATCTTTGGCCAATAACAATTGGAGACTGTTACGAGTGCAATTGAGTGAACGAACGAGAATTGCACTATCGAAGCAAGAATACAATTGAGCGAAGGCATGAGCGAACATTATATAGCGAAACTACAGTGGTAACGGTAATGGTCGCGCGACGAGCCTGGGACTGAGGTTGGGAAAGTGTCGAAGCGTAGGTCCGGAGCGCGGGTTACCAGCCGAGCCGTGAGGTCGGGATGCGATGTGCGAAAAAGGCGGGATGATGAATGATGCGATGGTCGCGAGTGGTAACGGTGCTGACTGAGGTGCTACAGTGATGTACGCGTTGAGCAGGGACGCGAAGTAAGGAAAAGGGAATTTCCTTACACTACCCCCACTCCTAAGGAGGTCCTCCTTAGGAAAGCGCGTGGATGTCTCGGAAATTGCGGCTACGCAGGTAGTCGGTGACGACGGGGTGATTTTCAACTTTCTCCAGGGGAACCCAATTGTCCTCGATGGGGGTACGATCTTTCCAGCGGATCAGAAACTCCACTTTTCGGGCTCCTCGAGGGTCGCGAACTCTGTGGCTCAGGATCTTGTCGGGGGTGATGACTGGTTCGGTTGGTGGTCGTGTCATGCTGGTGGGTCGATGTCGTGGGAGTTGGCTGGTGGATGGCACGTAAGGGCGAAGTAAGCTGACGTGGAACGAGGGGCTGACGTACCAGTCAGCAGGGAGGAGGAGGTGCGCGGTGACTGGCGTAACCATGTGACTGATTCGAAATGGCCCACAGTATCGAGGGCGGAGTTTTGGAGTGATGGGTAGACGGAGGTTCTGAGTGTCGAGTAAAACGAGGTCGTCGGGCTGATAAGTAACGGGTCTGCGTTGGCGATCGGCGTTGCGTTTAGCGATGATGTTTGATTTTTTGATTGCTTCTGCTGCCCTGGTCCGTGCTGCTTGCAGAATCTCGGCGAACTGTTGTGCTCGTGGGACGGGGTTGTCGGGATTCGGTGTCATCGGTACTGTTGGGTCCTGTCCGTAATTCAAGTAAAACGGCGACTGTTGCGTCGTAGCTGATGGTGCGTTATTGTATGCGAACTCGATGAGTGGCAGCTGCTGTTCCCACGTATTCGGATCGTCGCACGTGGCTCGAATCAGCTGCTCCATGGTCTGATTTGTCCGTTCTGTCTGTCCGCCGGTTTCGGGGTGATAGGATGAACTGAACTGTAAGCGCGTGCCGAACTGCTGCCACAGGTTCCGCCAGAAGTTGCTTGTAAATTTCGTGTCCCTGTCGCTGATGATCGATGCGGGTATCCCGTGCAGTCGAACGACGGTGGTGATGAAGAGTCGGGCGGTTTCCTCGGCTGTGATTGATTTCCTGCATGCTGCGAAATGAGCCATCTTGGTTAGTCGATCGACGACGACCAGGATCGCGTCATTCCCACTCGCCCCAGCTGGTAACCCCGTGACAAAATCCATCGTCACCTGCTGCCAAGCACGCTCTGGAGGCGGGATGGGCTGTAATTGTCCCGCCGGCCGCTTCCTGCTTGACTTCATGAGCTGGCAGGTGGGGCACGATGCCACGTGTCGTTGCACATCGGTCAACATTTCTGGCCAGTAGTAGTACCGCTGCAGCTGCTGCCGTGTTTTTTCTACCCCGAAATGTCCCGAGGTAACTCCGTCGTGTGCCTCCTGTAACAGTAGTTCCCGTAGTAGCGTGTATCCTGGTACCCAGATGCGGTCGGTTCCAGCTTTTACGTAATAGACTCCTTTTGCCGCTGCGAATTGCTGTGAGTTGCCTCCTGTAAAGAACGGGTCTGTTTGATATCCGTGGGTAAATAGGCTTGTCAGTAGCGGGCTGGTCTGGGCGAGTAGTATCGCGTGGATCTGGGCAGTGGGGCGGGTCAGTGCGTCGGCGATATTCGAGGCTCCTTTTTTGTATGTGACCGTATAGTGAAAATTCGACTCGAGGAAATCGAGCCATCGAATCTGTCGTGGGTTGAGGTGGGGCTGTGCACGGAGGTACTGTAGAGATCGATGGTCTGTCCGTATTGTCACGTCTGCGCCGGTCAAGTAGCAGCGCCACACTTTGAATGCATGCACGATCGCGAGCATTTCGCGGTCGTGTATCGGGTAATTTCGCTCAGGCGGATGTAGTTTGCGTGATTCGTAGGCGATGGGTTGGAGGCCGTCGCCGAAGTCCTGTAACAGTACAGCTCCGATGGCGATGTCACTTGCGCCGGTAACCACTTCGAAAGGGCGGTGGGGATCAGCGATGCGTAGAACGGGTGGTGAACAGAGAACGTTTTTCAGGGCAGAGAAGGCAGCATGCTCTTTCTCCCCCCACGTAAAAGCGACCCCCTTACGCAGTAAATCAGTGAGTGGGGCTGTTAAACGTGCCATGTCGGGCACGAACCGTCGAACGTAATTAACAAAACCTAAAAAACTCTGCAGTTCCGTGATGTTCGTCGGGGGGCGCCACGCTTTTACCGTATCCAGCTTCTTTGGGTCAATCTCAACCCCAGCCTCCGAAATGACGTGACCCAAAAACTCTAGCCTGTCCCGAAAAAACTCGCACTTGGAGCCCTTGGTGAGTAGCCGATGTTCCTCCAAAACCTTAAAAACTGCTTCAAGATCCACTAAGTGCTGCTGCTTATCCCGGCTGTAAACTAGAATATCGTCCAGGTAAACTATCACGCATTTATCTAAAAGTGGTCTAAACGCCTCGTTCATGGTCATCTGAAATGTCGCAGGCGCGTTCGTCAGCCCGAATGGCATTACTGTATACTCGAATGACCCGTACCTAGTCCTAAATGCTGTTTTGGCGCAGTCCGATGGTTCGACCCGAATCTGATGGTAACCTCCCCGTAAATCTATTTTCGAAAAGACTCGTGCTGTTCGCAGTTGGTCAATCAGTTCGTCGGCGCGGGGGATGGGGTATCGCGATTTGACTGTTACCCTGTTAAGCGCTCGGTAGTCGATGCACATGCGGAACCCTCCGTCTTTTTTCGGTGTGAACAGTATCGGTGCGGCGAACGGTGACGAGCTCGGTCGGATAAACTGCTTCTCTAACAGGTAATCTAACTGCTTCCTTAACTCGTCCAGCTCGGGCTGTGTCAGTCGAAATTGCCGCTGTACAGTTGGCTGTGCCCCCGGTTCTCACTCGATCCTATGGTCGTGCGCCCGCTGAGGTGGCAGTCCCTGTGGTAAATCATCCGGAAATATCCCCGGGAACTGTTTCAGTAGTGCCTGTAGTTCGGTCGGTACAGTTGCCAGCAGTTTCTCCAAATCACTCGGCTGCTCATCTTTTTCTACGAGTGCGATATCCAGTGCGTACACGTCAGCTCCAGCAGCGACAGCCCGTTTCATCGTGATGGCGTTGACCTGGACCGTCGAAGATTTGGGTGGCTGCCAGCGAGGTAGAACGACCCAGTTACCACTACTTCGCACTGTGCAGCTCCCCGTCGTCCAGTCGATCCGTGGGTTGTATCGTCGCAGCCAATCACGTCCCAATAAAATGTCGTGTCCATTCAGTGTCGTCGCGAGCATTTCCTGTGTAAACCCGAAGTTCCCCCCGCAGCGGACTTTTACGCGCTCCACCTTTTCCCGTATGGCCAGGGGCGTGCCGTCGACTAAGCGTGCATCTATCTCAGGTAAACATCGGTTAAGTGTTAACTGTAATTTTCGTGCGGTTGCGGTATTAACTAAGTTGTGGCTTGCTCCTCCGTCAATGAAGATCTTCACTGCTACTCCCTGTATTTTCGCGTAGATCAGTACCGGGCAATCCGTCGCTGTACCCTCCTTATTCATCCGAGCCCGATCGATGGCGTGAATCGGTACTGTGACTCGGTGAGGGTCGGTGTGGTTGGGCGAGCAGGCAGTCTCGTCAGTAGTTGGCCCAACTTCTACTGACTGCTGGCGTTTCCCTGCCTCTGAGACTCCCTCCCCTGCTCCGCTCCTCGACGCCTCAGCTCCTCTTGACATTCGCTCTTGCGATGGCCTGGCCGGTTGCA